TATTAAATTTAAAGGGGGGACCTTTTCGGAAGTATATCCCAAGTTATAATTAAGAGCATTACAAATATGAGAGTATTTAAAAAAAAATTATTTTTTGCAACACTAACCTCTAAAGTTAAATTTTACACACCGAAAAGTGTGTGTAAAGAAGCTCTTTTTCAAACGGTGTGTAAAGTGATTCACTTTACGCACTGAAATTTACTTTACGCACTGAAATATTACTTTACGCACTGAAATATTACTTTACGCACTGAAATTTACTTTACGCACCGAAATTTTTCTCACATAATATAAGGATTGTTTTAGACCATACAAAACCACAAAATTAAAAAAAGAACTTTACTTTTAAATTTATACACTTCTGCTTAATGATATTTTTCCTGATCTTCGATTGATTTTTTTAATTATATACAATCGAAATTATTCTAATAGAGAGTTGGAATTCTTCATAATAGGTACTTAACTTTAGAGGTGGGTGTTGCATAAAATGTTGTATGATACACGTGCGTAAATCTGATTATACTCGTGTGACGTTTGCATCACTCGTATAATCACTCACTTAACGCACTTGTATCATAAATAACTATTTTTTAAATAGTCTCATATTTGTAATGCTCTTAATTATAACTTGTATTTGTTTTTTCTGTTAAAATTTGTTTAGAATAAATAAAAATTAAGTGTCAATATAGATAACTGACTGGAAATTTTTCGAGGATTTTCAATTTGGGCTTAGTTTTTGTCTATATAACTGCGCATGCGCACAAAAAAGGAAATACTGTAAGGAAACCTTGAAAAAATTTGAATTAGCTCAGTATTTTGCATAAAAATGGTTAAAAACTCAAAATATGCAAATTTTAGGTATAACCATTTTAAAGTATAGCTTTTCAGCTGTCTTTCCTGAAAATTGAATTTAAAAAAAAACAGTTTTTTTTAATCTACTGCACATGCGTTTAGAGATAGCTCAAAAATTCCAACGGCATTGGATTCTTTGGAAAAATAAAAAATATTTAAATCCAAAGAAATAATTTTTTAAGTATTAAATTTACCATTTGCAGATTTTGACGATTCCAACGATATAAATTTTTACGTCTAAATATTAAAATTTGCTTTTGGAAAAGTTATATAATTTCATGATTTACATATGTACAAACTCTAATCTTATAGTATTTGCAAAAAAATTTATACCGTTATAATTGTTTTAACCTGTACATTGCAAATATAATATTTATACAATTATTTTTTTAAATTCCAACAATTTTTAATTTTTCAATGAAAAGCCATAAAACCATAAAAGACCCTTCCGACTGCCTTTTGGAAACCAGGCTCGAAAGGGCACAAAAATTCTAAATATGTTTGCTTGATTTTAGTTATAGGAAAAGCAACACATGTTACAATCCTTTTCATATCATTGGCTATGTTTTTCAGAAAAAAATCTAGAAAACGCCTTTTGCACTTAAAAATACACCCTTTCACAACAATGTCATTGTTTTTTTACTTCAACTCGCGACAGCTCTGACAATTTTACGAATTTCTCAATGAAACAAAAACGAAAATACGTGTTGTTATATTCTACGAGTGACTAAAAAAAAAATTGTTTTGATTAAAAATTAAAGAGTACAGTAGGACTCCGGTTATCCGAGCTAATGTGGACCGGACCTACCTCGGATAAAGCGGAAACTCGGATAATCCGAATTGTTAAATATTTATTACAATTTAACATTATTATTGTTTAAACAATTATTATTTAATACAAACGGGAAAATAATATTGTAAATATTCTGTAATAATTTAAACAATTTGCATTTATTAAAAATAAACTCATATTTATAAAAAACTAAAATTAAAAATAACTCGGATGACGCGGACTAGATTCGGATAATGCGGATAATTCCTACTGGGACACCACCTCGGATAATCGAGACCTCGGATAAAGCGAGCTCGGATAAACGGGGTTTTACTGTAATTAATTTTATTAATGAGACATTGCAAAATTCGTGAAGTGCAATTTTCTCAATGCGGGGAAGTTCCACAAATTTTCAGCAGCAATAAACTTCCAGTGAGAAAGTTGTTCATTAAGGTACAAAGAAATTTTCTGGAAAGTTACAATGCAATTGAACAATTAATAACAAAATGAATTTTGCAATGTCTCATTAATAAAATTAATTACTCTTTAATTTTTAATCAAAACAATTTTTTTAGCCACTCGTAGAATATAATAAAACGTATTTTCCTCTTTGTTTTATTGAGAAATTCGTAAAATTATCTGAGCTGTTGCGAGTTGAAGTAAAAAAAACAATGAAAATTTTCTTTTTTAAAAAAACAGTTTTTCTCTTATATTTCGAAAACGGAAAAAGATAAAAAGTTTTTTATTAAGAAAAAAAGATGCGCAATCGAATTCTGTATAAGAATATGCTCTAAAAATATTAAAATTCGAAAAATGAATTTTGAGTGTCCAGAGGACTTCGTTTTTCGGCCGAAAAAATTTACGTGCCCTTCTACACGGAAAAAACAAACTAACTATTTTAGCACCAAACTGCTTTATCCTTTATTAGTATGCAATTTCGTTTACCTATTAAAGTATGAAATAATGCTTTTTTAGTTTAAAGTAAGTCCATACTAAATAAGTATAATGGTTATACTCTTTTAGTAATAGTGACGTACTTTAAAAGCATAAAGTTGATGCCTGCGAAGTACGACATATATTCTACCTAAAATAGCAAGAGCTTCTTCCTTTTTGGTGTATAAATTCTTGCAACCTGCGTTTTGGCCTATATCGATATATCAATGGTTGGAAGGAGAAGGAGGCGTGGCCAAAACGCAGGTTGCAAGAATTTATACACCAAAAAGGAAGAAGCTCTTGCTATTTTAGGTAGAATATATGTCGTACTTCGCAGGCATCAACTTTATGCTTTTAAAGTACGTCACTATTACTAAAAGAGTATAACCATTATACTTATTTAGTATGGACTTACTTTAAACTAAAAAAGCATTATTTCATACTTTAATAGGTAAACGAAATTGCATACTAATAAAGGATAAAGCAGTTTGGTGCTAAAATAGTTAGTTTGTTTTTTCCGTGTAGAATCCAGCGGTTTAATTATTGTTAGTTAATAATTGACAAAAAAAATAATCTTCTTTTCTCGAATGATGATTGATTAGTGGATTAGAAGGAAAAGGAATTGATGTTGGATACTCTTCTTAAGGGGGAGTGACACCTTTGACCCGAAAAAAATCGATTTTTGTCTGTTTAAACGATACTTTATGATTTGTAGAATAGAAATTATATCATCAAAAGCGATTTCGAAGTTATTTTATGTGAAAAAATAGAAATCTGCAGAAGGTGTTCAAGAGCGCTTCGAGTGCTTGTTAGCGTTATCGGCTACTTTCTCTTTTACCCGGGTTACAATTACGTACTTTTCAGATAACAGCCGCTCGAAAGGCTAAAGATGAAGCCAGTATTAATGTAGAAGGCCAATTATACGGTGCAGGCATTGACTTCGGCCAAAGTTTTTTTTTATCGTCATTTACTAATGCTTTAGAGTACCGTCAAAGCAAATAACTTCGGACAAAAGGCTAACTCCGGACACTCGTATATATGCGGGGTTTATATACTAAGATATAATTGGCTCAAAATTTCTGAAATGAGCCACTAATTTTTCGATGGCGAGATTTTTATATGTCATATCAATAATTTTATAGTATTTTCGAATCAAAATAAGATCCTAAAGTTGTTTGGCAAAGTTTTAATTTTTTTAAGAGTTATTGTTTAAACAATTTTTAAGCATCCAATTAGTACTTTTCTACGGTTCTACTTGATGAATCTTGCTAAAATTTGGTATGAGTAATATACAATAATCATGCTTTCAAACAAAAAAAATTGGTTTGATTTTCTCCATAATTTGTTCAAAATAGCAACAATTATTATAAACAAATAAAAATAAAATAAACTTCTGCGCCTAATTTCGTATTTTTCTTGTCAATTATGATTTCCTATTTTATCACGAGTATTTCAAAAAAAAGAAAAGTTAGTATATTGCATTAGGTCAAAAGTTATTAATATAGGTATTTGTGATCGCGCTCCGCCAACTACGTGCTACGCCGCCACAGTGGGATGAATAACACGGCCGTAGACAAATTAACATAAAGCCTACAAATTTCAACCGATTTTGACGTTCTTGGTCATGTTTTAAAGATCATAAAATTCTACATTATGTCTTTGATTTTTTTTTGTTGAAAAAAAATTTTCAATTATTTATTTAATGTTAAAGTTGAAAAAGTTTTTTTTCCTCCTTAAAACTAGCGAAACTTTTTAGAATAGGCGATTATTCCCCATTTATTTGTATTTGAGATGCAAAAGTAATTATCAGTTTAATAGTTATTATAAATTAATTATTTGTAATTGTTTAAACAATTTTTATGAACAATTTTGTTGATTTAGCGGCCTCTATAGGCAACAAATTGAAACTTTTTTTAAGTATAAATATATTTTCGTAAACTTAAAAAGTTAACAAATACACTGCAAAAAGAAGTATCTTATTTTAAGATGTTTTGGTAGCGTTTTCAAGACATCAAGATATCTTTAACATCTTAATGTCTTAAAAACGCTACCAAAACATCTTAAAATAAGATACTTCTTTTTGCAGTGTAAAGTCCTCAAAACCAAATTTTGTTTACTTTATTCCTGTGTCTTAAAAAAATTTATGAAAAACAGGTTCAAAAGAGACCTCAGAGGTCTCCCCCTTAAATAAAAAAAAATATTTTAATTGGTTTGATGCAATTTATTAGATCGTCATAACGCTCATCCAATATAATCTTTTGACAGATGCAAATATTAAAACTGAGAATATTTTATATTTGTAAATTTTAAAATTATCAATTTTACAATGTTACAGACGTCACAATATAAAACTTGACATCGGATTTTAAAAATGTAAAATTTTATTAAATTGTGAGTGTTTTGCAACATTTTTTAATGTTATAAAATACAGTCTTATACTTACTGATATTCGGAGTGTAGACGATGGACAACTTGAGATCTTCATTTATTATTGGCTCATCAGAAATAAAAATATAAGTTTCTAGCTTTCCTTGAGGGTCAAATTCTGAATAATATTGATTTGATATTTCTGATTCACTTTTTTGACGATTCATTGTGCCACACCATTTTTGTGACCATTTATCTATGTCTTTACTCTTAAACTGAAAGTAATAAAGAATAACTTAAATCAATAATTACTTTTTTGAGATTTATTTTTACAAACTTCCATAAAATCAGTTTTAAATTTTAGTAATTGTTTAGAATTTAAGAGAAGTTTCACATGCCTGTTGATTGACATCCCGATCTATATTACGTAAATCGTGCTGTCTTTTAAGTCGAGTTGCGCAAATCAATTAACCCTTTACCGGTTATCTGTTACGAAATGTCGTTTAGAGTCCTTTTTGAGGAAACAGCCAATAGAAAAAGTGGATATGCTTGTGTTAGTAAATTAGCTTCGTGTGAGAACGTGAGTGTCTGAATTTGCAGACCGTACATAAATGAAAGTGGAACCCGATTATATTTAAAAATAAATAATATTAAAAAAATCTTATTTTATAACTCAAAATATAGATTTTTTTAAATAGTGCAATCACGTGAAGCTATCATTCAATTACAAAAAGATAAGTTTCATTGTTAAAGACTTTTAATATATCTAAATCAAAATGTAAACATAACCTAATTCAAAGTCGAAAGTTTATACATAAAATAATAGAAACTTATTTCCAATACATGTGGAACCGTTGTGATGGCATCAAAGCCGTTATTTAGAGACTTAGCCGGATAGCGGACAAACTCCGTTACCCACCGTCACCACGTGGAGGTGCCCTGGATGCAGACACAAATAAGAAGTTATTTCACTACTATGGACTAAAGTTCTATTCGTAGTATGTAGTTCTTAAATAGCACGTCGCATGCAATATACATACCTCCAAGTAACAAATTTCATGAAAATATACCAATATTTAAGAAAATTTCTAAAAGAAATTACTAATTTTCAAAATATTTAACCGCCATATTAGATCGGCCATTTTAAAAATCTGATTTCAGATTCGTAATCAAGGACCTTGAAAACCCCCCGAGTAACGATTTTCAAGCATATATGTTTAATTTTTTAAATTTTGTCCGTCATATTAGGTCCGCCATTTTGAAAATCTGACTTCAGATTCGTAATCAGCGACCTCGAAAACCCCGAATAATAAGTTTCAAGCGAATTCAATGAATTTTTAAAAATTCCTCTGCCATATTGGATCCGACATTTTGAATTTTAAAAATCTGACTTCAGATTCGTAATCAGCAACCTCAAAAACCCCTAGATACCAAGTTTCATATAAGTCCAAGAATTTTTTTTATAAAATTTTATACCACCAAAAATTTGATACGTTTTTTGAGGTTAGGAAGAAATTCAGACCCCCAGGAGCAAAATGGACTTCAAATTCGTGTTCAGCGGTCCAAAATACATGGGAGTATGGTACTCTGATCGCGGAACCCCGACATTTTTTTTGTGAGGCTGTGTTATGAATCCGATATCATATATAGAAGTTTCAGTTCATTAAACTATATTCACATTGATAAAACTTCAAATGACATAATTTTTTCGCACAATGTTTAGCATTGGTCGAACTTTTTACGCTCTATCTTTTGTATTGTTTGTATCTTTAGGTGTGTCCTATATTTTTTAAACAAGTTTTTATTCAATTTATTGCCATGATAGTACCCAAAAAAATTAAAAAATGTTCTAAAGACAAATCTAGTTTATTAGCTAAATTTATAAGATAACACAGCCCCACAAAAAAAAGTGTCGTTCGCGGCAGCCTAGACTAGTCATTTCCTATGTATTTTGACGCGCTGAACACGAATCCGAAGTCCGTTTTGCTCCATCACGTCAGGATTTTTTTCTAACCTCAAAAAACCTGACGGATTTTGAGAGGTAGGCTATTTTTTTTTAAATTGATGGATTTACTTCAAACTTGGTATCTAGGGATTTTTTGGGTCGCTGATTACGAATCTAAAGTTTGATTTTCAAAATTTAAAATGGCGGCTCCAATATGGCCAATATGGCCCTAATTCCAATAGCGCATTCAACAGAAATGAAAGAAAACTATGAATATATGAAACTAGTTTTGGATAAAATTAGATACCGAGAACACAACTGGCAAATTTGTGGAGATTTCAAGATTTTAAGCATACTACTTGGACAACAATCAGGTTTTACAAAAACACCATGTTTCCTGTGTTTGTGGGACAGTAGAGATCGAGCAAATCACTACATTAAAAAACAATGGCCAAAAAGGAATTCTTTCGAACCAGGTTCAAAAAATATAATAGAAAATCCCCTAATCGACCCTTCAAAGGTGATAATTCCGCCCTTACACACGAAACTAGGAGCAATTAAACAGTTTGTCAAAGCCTTAGATAAAAAAGGAAACTGTTTCAAATACCTGGAACAAAAGTTTCGAGAAATCTCTGATACGAAACTAAAAGAAGGGGTTTTCGACGGACCACGTATTCGCAAATTATTAAAAGATGAGCAATTTATCACCAAGATGAATAAAAAGGAGAAAGCCGCATGGCTTAGTTTCAAAGCAGTTGTCGGAAATTTTCTGGGTAATCACAAGAGTGAAAATTAGGAGCAAATAGTTAGTGATATGATTAAAAACTTTGATAAGTTAGGATGCTTAATGAGCATAAAGTTGCATTACTTAGACTCGCATCGCGATCAATTCCCTGAAAATTTGGGAGATTACAGTGAAGAACAAGGAGAACGATTTCATCAAGATCTTAAAGAATTTGAGCGTCGTTATCAAGGAAGATGGGATGTAAATATGATGGCCGACTACTGTTGGATGCTGAAAAGGGATATTGTACCTGGAGGCACCAATTTATAAAGAAAACCATTACACAGATCCTTTGAGGACAAAAAGAGTGCGCTACCATAAGGGAACGTCCATAAACTACGTTACCAATTTAGGGGGGGGGAGGGGGTCCGGGCTAAACCTACGCTTAATGTTAAAACTTATAAAATTGTATGTAAAGTTGTCAAAGAAGGGGGGGGGGAGGGGGTCTAAAAAGTTGAAAAATTGGTAACGTAGTTTATGGACGTTCCCTAAAAAGACGTGAATACCTTACTTATGTATATAAGAATTTTCATTTCTAGTTTTGAAAATCTAACTTCAGATTCGTAATCAGCGACCCAAAAAACCCCTAGATACCAAGTTTGAAGTAAATCCATCAATTTTTACAAAATTAGTCCACCATATTGGAGCCGCCATTTTGAATTTTGAAAATCTAACTTCAAATTCGTCATCAGCGACCCAAAAAACCCCTATATACCAAGTTTGAAGTAAATCCATCAATTTTTAAAAAAAAATAGCCTACCTCTCAAAATCCGACAGGTTTTTGGAGGTTAGAAAAAAATCCTGACGTGATGGAGCAAAACGGACTTCGGATTCGTGTTCAGCGCGTCAAAATACATAGGAAATGACTAGTCTGGTCTGCCGCGCACGACACCTTTTTTTGTGGGGCTGTGTAATCTATAACCATACCTCCACGCGGAGAGAATCGGGATAAAAATAAGTACTTTCATGTATTAGAATTTTCACGTTACATTTTGTCATGAAGTATTAGAATGATAAGAATAATATATATTACTCAAGTAAACCCCCGAGTACCCATTTTCAATGGAATTGTATAACATTTTTAAAATTTCGTCCGCCATATTGAATTTTGGAAAACTAACATCGGATTCGTAATCAGCGACCCTGGAAACCCCTGAATAACCAGTTTCAGGTCAATTTGTTGAAAAAATTTTGGTTGAACAATATGCATGAATATTTTCAAAAAAAGTAGGTATTACTTTAATACCTACTTTACGTACTAAATTGTTATTTGGTTCTATTTTGATACCTATAATCGATACTATTTTAGTACTTTCTTTTTACAGTGAAAATTCAGAGAAAAATTTAAGAATTAACAAAAACTTCTTCAGGAAATGCAAAATCGAAATTGAAATAAATTTAATTAAAAGTATTATAAATATTTTTTTAATGTAAATTAAATTAAATATTTTCTGCGAGGAAACATAATGTTCGTGAAATGAACATCACATTTATGTAATATAAATGTTCACCTCTTCTTGTTTCAATTATAGATATCTAAAACCCAATTTTCAATGTTTTAACTATTTTTTTTATTTATCTGGCAAAAATTAATATTTTTAAATGTTCTTGGGCTTATTGGAATCATATTTTATTATACAATTCAAATTATTAAAAACAATTCATGTCCACATTCTTCCCTAGCGTATACACACCGTGAAAGTTGGCTTAAAAAAGTCAAAAAATTATGATTAATATTTAAATGACAAAAAATGAACAGTAAAATATGTAAATCTTAAACTTACTTACATAAATCAGAGAAATTTAAGATGATCTATTTAATTGATTTTTAAACATTACATTTTGTTGCAAAATTTAACTTTAATTTTTTGACTTTTTTTTAGCCAACTTTCAAGGTTTGCATACGCTAGGAAAGAATGTGGACATAAATTGTTTTAAATAATTTAAATTTTATAACAAAATACAATTCCAATAAGCCCAAGAACGTTTAAAAATATTAGTTTTTGCCAGAGAAATAAAAAAATAGTAAAAACATTGAAAATTATGTTTTTCTTAGATATCTAATTGAAAAATTAACATATTCTCTTTGTCAAGATGTCATTTCTTTCAGACTTTTATTAGCTTTTATGAAATAAAAAGAAAAAATTTTAGTTTTAATATTTTTGAAGATTTGAACAGTTTTATAGTTGTTGAAAAAGCAGAGTTCGCACAATTTCCGACGGTAGTGTACTTCCCCAGATAACTACGAGAGCTTTTTTTTAATAATTATAAATTATACTGTAAAAAATAGATCGATTTTTTTAGTGAAAATCGGGTTTTTGGGTTTCGAGTGCACACCTAACCTATAAATTGCAAGTTTACTTTTTCTAAATATAAATTAAAATTAATAAAAATAAACTATTTAAATTGATTTATTAAAATATTTTAATTATTATTTAACATTAGTATTTTGATATTGATATTAATATATTCAAATTGATATTTCATTTTTAAAATTTATCTATTTATATTAATATGGAAGAAGTTAACAATCTATTTGTAATTTA